AAATAGTATAGAAGATATTCCCTGGACAAATATTTTCAAAAGAAAAGGTCAAGTCATAGGTCACAGTGACCTAACTCTTGCGCTCTGCCATCCCAAGATGTCCTTGTACACCAAATCTGGTTACTCCAGGTGTAATAGTATAGAAGATATTCCCTGGACAAATATTTTCAAAAGAAAAGGTCAAGTCATAGGTCACAGTGACCTGACTTTTGCGCTCTGCCATCCCAAGATGTCCTTGTACACCAAATCTGGTTACTCCAGGTGTAATAGTATAAAAGATATGCCCTGGAAAAGAAAAGGTCAAGTTATAGGTCACAGTGACCTAACTCTTGCGCTCTGCCATCCCAAGATGTCCTTGTACACCAAATCTGGTTACTCCAGGTAAGGTACAGAAGATATGCCCCGGACAAACTTTTTCAAAAGTTAAGGTCAAAGCATAGGTCACAGCGAGGTTATAGTGACCTAATTCTTGCACTCTGTCATCCCAAGATGTCATTGTACACCAAATCTGGTTACTCCAGGTGAAAAAGTATAGACAAACTTCTTGGACAGAAGGAAGGACGGACGGAAGGACAGATGGAGTGCAAACTTATGGCTACCTCCCCCCCTGGAACCGGGTGGGGGACTAATATCTACTTTTCACACTTTCAATTTTATTTTGAATTTGATTTAAATTGGCAAAAAGAAAAAATCACATTTTGGAATGATAATGTAGGAATCAAAGGACCTCGAAGAGGAATCCTAGATGTAGTGGTGAGAAATATGTGCTAATCTCATATTATTGTGTTCAAAAGCCAGTTGTATTAAATAGGACAGCTGTTCTTACTAGATGAACTACACTGTTTGCAGTTTTGTGTCCTGCAGGGATCTGACTCGATAGCCTCCCTAATAAAGAGTACAGCCAACACTGACCACCATCATATACAAAATACTGTAAATTTATTCATGATACAAAAATGTCACATTTTCTCATTAGCTAGCATACTAAATCTTTTAGCTTTCACTCAAGGTCAAATAGACAATCGCTTCATATGGAGCCATACAGAACAACCATAGAGTACATTTATTTACTTAATATCACTGACATTTCACTCTATTTGTGGAGACATTCACGTTTAACTGAACATGTAGGTCTTCCCATTTTGTAAAGATACTGTAAATGTTCCTGTGAAATTTGAAATTATATAGACATTTTCAGTGCAATACACTCAACCCTGTGATATTGTGTTACACAGAAAGATTTATCTGCTGTTTCATTTTGTTTGACAGTCTTCAGAATTTTGAAAAGAAATATATTTAAACTGAGTACCAGTATTATAGTAATTTAGAATTAAGTTATTCATTAAGTCTGATGATTACTGTGAAAATAATTGTTTAAGGACTACAAAGTAAATCAATTTCTTTGAAACAAACTCAGAAATGTAAATAGGTTGCAGCACTTTCATGAAAAATACTTGTATGATACACACAACATTAAAAAATATGGTAAACAAATTGCATACATGTATATATTTAAGACAATGGAGATCAAATTCTCAAAAAATAACAATTCAAAAATCTCTTTCCTTTTCCAAACATCGTGCATACATTGTAGATTTTCTCTGAAGCTTCTTACACCAGTCTCAAGGTCTGTTTCCTCATCCTATCTCTATTCCCTCTCATCTTTCTTCCCTTTCTCTCAATCTCTGTTCCCTCTCATCTCCATTCCCTCTCTCAATCTATCTCTCAAACTGCTTCATTCACTCCCCTACATTTAATGTTCGTCATACAAGAATATTTGTCCTGTTAATATAAATGTCTAATGTATCATTCTCTTCCGAAATTTGTTGAAATCTGTATTGATTCAAGTCTTAGATCTCACCCTGAGAATCAGAAACAATACCACGTCAAAATCACTTTACCGTGTACAAATAACACAGAAGTGTTAGAGATGATTTTGGCTTCAAGATATCTCAAATTTCTAAAATGGAAGGTGAACTATTTACTGAATTTTACAACTGAAGACATGACCATAGACTTTCATGTATAAAGAGGAATGAATACTGCAGTAAAATTTTAACCTTTTTTTAAAAGGAAGTAAGGGCTATTTTATGATGATCTTAATGTAAACACATAACTTGCTATAAATAATACTTCTATCATGAAGTGGGAAATAAAAAATAAGTCAGTAATTGAGAATTGATCAGCAAGGATGAAAATCTAAAAGGCTGATACTTTTCGGGAACATTGCAAAACTGAGTTTTTCTCTTTTTCTTCTTTCTTTGTTCCCAGTTTTTTCACCAGTTTGCTAGAATGGTCTGTTTTGCCAGATCTGCTTTTTGCAGATTTCAGGTCTAGTGGCTATGGCAGAAATTAAGTAAATAGTGGAATTTTTCATAACCGTACTTTTAAAAATATGAAATGAGTGGGTCAAGAATACCAGAAATATGATTGTGTAATATCAACATGCTACCTTTTTTCTATAATATTGATGGAAATTCTCAGTTTTGCACATTTCCTGATCAATTAACATGTATCTCCTTTATCCGCTTACTTTTAAAAATTTTAAGCTTTCCTCTGAATGGACCGTTTGAAAAAAAGGGCTTACCTACCTGCAATATATATCTTCTTCTTTTTTTTTATGTCAACCTGATAAAATACTAGCTAGGGAGAACTCACTCTAAACCAGGGTCCCAGGTTCAACCCCTATAATGATCTCTGTTATACAACAACACATTTGTCTATTACTATCGCTAGAATGGTGAGTAAATTTGTTGTAGTCAGTAAAAGCACAATGCAATGTATGTTTATTTCTCTAGAATCAAGAAATCCTTATCACATGGCTAAGTTACAATCGGTGGTTAGCAAATGTCCAATAACCTGAGCGTATGCATTTTACTTTCGTAAATACAAATGGGTTAAGCTGACGCAAGAGTAACTTCATGCATTGGTTATCTGATTTCTTTGGCATTCAAGTACAGGTGTTTTTCCTGAATCAGTAACATTTTGATAACAATTTATCAATCATCAGCGTAAGCTATTCATTCTTTTTTAAAAATTTGTGCAAAGGCAACATTTTCGAATTCACCTTCAGGGGACCTCTTTGTGTGCCCTCAATTAAATAAATACAAAAAAAAACCCATTTCAACACACCATGTTAACAGTCAAAAATGGTACCAGTAATTTATACTGAAAACAATTCACATGACATCTTTTCAACATCACAATGGCTATATTGAACTTTAATTCATTTTTTCTTGTTTCCTTCCATTTAGCTAAAAAGTGAATTCTCTATTCTTATTCAGAACATATATTAATTCAAATATCAAACAAGATGTGAAATAAACATGTTTGAGATATAAACACCATACATTGCTGTACAGTTAGTGTTTGATCATTTTGAACAAAGAAAATTAACATACCTAGAAAACACATGTACTTACAACCTTGAAGGTTATTCCTAAGGAAACATAACCATCTAGATATGAAATTTTAAACATACTTCTGTTGGAATGTCATACACATATGACCATGTGTTAATGTTTAATGTTGACAATCATCATCGTCATGGTGATTGTTGGCGATTGTATGGCGACCTGCGTTGCCGAGGAGTAGAACCATCAACAGGACTGTATCCAGGTGACCAGAGGTATGGAGTTTTAGGTGTAGCTGCATATGGAGAGTACTGAGGACCCATCAGAGCTGGAACGCAGTAATGAAAAAAAGGGTATAAAACAAGGCATCACAAATGATACAAATCCTACACTAGTCTGTTAAAAAGTAATGTACCTTACATGTTGTCAGCAGTATCTTGGTACATAACACTCCAACAATTTCTTCCTCTGACAATAAATTTCATTAAACTTGCAAATTTCTAAATCCACATGTAAGCATTTATGTTATATTCATGAGAACTGAAACAGCTGCTGAAGTGACAAGATTTTCTATAAATAGTAGATGGTAACCTTGACCTTGGTTGTAACACCCTGAAACACAGACTTGTAATAAGTATTCTCAAAATCTGTTCATGTTAATCAAGTGGCGAAGAGTGATGACAAAGTTTATCTATAAATGTTAATGTGACCTTGACCTTTGTACCCCTAAACATCAAAACTCGTACCTTGATGCAGTTTCATCAAAATCCATTAACATATTAAGAGGGTATAAAATTGTAACAGCGGTCTTGATACCATAAATTAATCAATTTGAGTTTGACCATTGTATGAAGTCTGATCCAAATCTATTCACAAATGATGTTGAAATAGAGTCGTGACAACATGGTACATGTATGTCTACCAGAACCTTTAACTTTCACCCTGACCTTAAATTTCAATCCTCTTGCCATGTCAATTTTCACTCAAATCCTCATGATATAGCCCTGTATTGACTATAATGTGTGCCTCTCAGAAATCTATCACATCCATGACCTTTAACCTTTTACCTTGGGTTTCAAAAGGGTTCATCTCCTAAACATGCCCAGTTAATGTACCAAGCTTGAATGAGTTTGGATAAACACTTTTTTTCACATTCTACAACAGGTGTCTACCAGAAATAATACAACTTTCACTCATGACCTTGAAAGGTCTTTTGTCAAGTCTTGTCAGAAAATATCAGACCACTAGGTCCATCCCTAACTCTGTTAAACCTGTCAAACAGTTTGGAATATAGTTCTGGTATTAGGAGATAACTCTCTATTTTTAGATTTGTAAACATTTAATCAAGATTGCACTCATAAAATGCGACTAATAATGCAGATTAACAGTGGATCCCAGTTGTATTATACAATACCTTGGGGTGAGTAGGTGATGGGCGAAGCTGCCCCTCCTGGTCCCATGAATACACCTGCATTGGCAGCTCTGTACTTGGGTCCAAACACAGCATGATAACCTGACAACACAAAGCAGGCTTCATGGAAGACTAGTGGTGAAATAACCTTTGAAATGCTTTATATTTAATCATCACTGAGTTATTTTCATTTATTTCCAAAAATTCAATTGAAACAAATTTTACACCAGTGTTGCTAAGTAGGACAAGTTGAATTCATCCATAATCATTCTGATGTATAAATAGCAATAAAAGATAATTTTACCTATAATGACTGCTAGTGCGGTGAGGATGATGACGAGGATAATGAAGAGCCAGGATTGATAATTATAGAAGATATTGCGGACCAACGACTGCCAGCCACTCCCTCTGTATGTACCTGTAAGGAAATCAGACATATTTCAGTATAGTTTATATCTGAACTTGGATAAGGGATGTTTTAGTGTAAAAGAACGAAGAGGAGTAGTTGGGGCTATATTTTAATGAGCACAAGCTTGATTAATTGGTACCAGGTCATATTCTCATAACAAAAACAACCCATCAGCACAAGTGTTGTTGAGAGCTTTGTTCAATAAATTTAAATGGGATTCTGGTACAAATTATTTTTGTACTTGGATATAGAGCAGCTTATCTGCAGTATTATAGAACCTTTCATTATAAACAGGAAATTTTAAACCATTTTATCAATGATCATTATTTTATTGATACCATATATTTTTGAATACTTACTGATGTAATCAGGCTTCTGACCAATGAGGCTAACAAAGACAGGCAGTTTGACCTTTTGGCCTGTCTTCTGACAGACCATCTCAATGTGGACATCAATCTGATCTCTCTCCCAGAGTGCTGCAGACTCTATCAGTCTGATTGGATACAAGAGCACAGCCCCAGACTGGGTGTCCTTCTCTGGGGACAGACTCTCTAGGATGGACGGATCACTAACAAAGACCTTAAAAAATCAGAACAGAACATGAAAGTTACAATCTGGTGACATATAATGATGAAGAGAATACAAATTGTAAGTCTCGTGTGGGGAGATAAGACCCTGACTAACACACAAAGTACAGGTTACAGGACACACAAAGTACAGGTTACAGGAGTTAGGAAGCGAAAGTTCACACAGATCTATAAACTACGAAATGTTCTCTTATCCTTTGAAACACATTGAACAATACTGAGTGACAATCCTACCTCTATACAGTCGGTGAGACCAGACACTGTGGATACTCGGATAGAACAATACTGAGGGACCACCCTACCTCTATACAGTCGGTGAGACCAGACACAGTGGATACTCGGATAGAACAATACTGAGTGACCACCCTACCTCTCTACAGTCGGTGAGACCAGACACAGTGGATACTCGAATAGAACAATACTGAGTGACCACCCTACCTCTATACAGACGGTGAGACAGTCGGTGAGACCAGACACAGTGGATACTCGAATAGAACAATACTGAGTGACCACCCTACCTCTATACAGTCGGTGAGACCAGACACAGTGGATACTCGAATAGAAGAATACTGAGTGACCACCCTACCTCTATACAGACGGTGAGACCAGACACTGTGGTACTTGGATAGAAGAATACTGAGTGACCACCCTACCTCTATACAGATGGTGAAACCAGACACAGTGGATACTTGGATAGAACAATACTGAGTGACCACCCTTCCTCTATACAGTCGGTGAGACCAGACACTGTGCATACTTGGATAGGACAATACTGAGTGACCACCCTACCTCTATACAGATGATGAGACCAGACACTGTGGATACTCGGATAGAACAATACTGAGTGACAACCTTACCTCTATACAGTCGGTGAGACCAGACACAGTGGATACTTGGATAGGACAATACTGAGAGACCACCCTACCTCTATACAGATGGTGAAACCAGACACAGTGGATACTTGGATAGGACAATACTGAGTGACCACCCTACCTCTATACAGTCGGTGAGACCAGACACTGTGGATACTCGGATAGAACAATACTGAGTGACAACCTTACCTCTATACAGTCGGTGAGACCAGACACTGTGGATACGCGGATAGAACAATACTGAGTGACCACCCTACCTCTATACAGATGTTGAGACCAGACACTGTGGCTACTCGGATAGAACAATACTGACTGACTGCCCTACCTCTATACGGTCGGTGAGACCGGACACTGTGGATTCTCGGATAGAACAATACTGGGTGACCACCCTACCTCTATACATACGGTGAGACCAGACACAGGGGATACTTGGATAGAACAATACTGAGCGACAACCTTACCTCTATACAGTTGGTGAGACTGGACACTGGATACTCGGATAGGACAATACTGAGTACAGATGGTGAGACCAGACACAGTGGATACTTGGATAGAACAATACTGAGTGACTGCCCTACCTCTATACAGTCAGTGAGACCAGACACAGTGGATACTTGGATAGAACAATACTGAGTGACCCCCCTCCCTCTATACAGTCGGTGAGACCAGACACTGTGGATACTCGGATAGAACAATACTGAGTGACTGCCCTACCTCTATACAGTCAGTGAGACCAGACACAGTGGACACTTGGATAGAACAATACTGAGTGACCACCCTACCTCTATACAGACGGAGAGACCAGACACTGTGGATACTTGAAAAGAACAATCCTGAGTGACCACCCTACCTCTATACAGACGGTGAGACCAGACACTGTGGATACTTGAAAAGAACAATCCTGAGTGACCACCCTACCTCTATACGGTCAGTGAGACCGGACACTGTGGATACTCGGATAGAACAATACTGAGTGACAACCTTACCTCTATACGGTCGGTGAGACCGGACACTGTGGATACTCAGATAGGGCAATACTAAGTGACAACCCTACCTCTATACAGTTGGCGAGACTGGACACTGGATACTCGGATAGGACAATACTGAGTGACAACCCTACCTCTATACAGTTGGTGGGACTGGACACTGTGGATACTCGGATAGGACAATACTGAGTGACAACCCTACCTCTATACAGTTGGTGGGACTGGACACTGTGGATACTCGGATAGGACAATACTGAGTGACCACCCTACCTCTACTGAACAATACTGAGTGACAATCCTACCTCTATACAGTCGGTGAGACCGGACACTGTGGATACTCAGATAGAGCAATACTAAGTGACAACCCTACCTCTATACAGTTGGTGAGACTGGACACTGGATACTCGGATAGGCCAATACTGAGTGACCACCCTACCTCTACAGTCGGTTAGACTGGACACTGTGGATACTCGGATAGAAAAATACTGAGTGACAACCCTAACTCTATACAGACGGTGAGACCAGACACAGTGGATACTTGGATAGGACAATACTGAGTGACCACCCTACCTCTATACAGACGGTGAGACCAGACACTGTGGCTACTCGGATAGAACAATACTGAGTGACAACCTTGCCTCTATACAGTCGGTGAGACCAGACACTGCAGACACAGTGGATACTCGAATAGAAGAATACTGAGTGACCACCCTACCTCTATACAGTCAGTGAGACCGGACACTGTGGATACTCGGATAGGACAATACTGAGTGACCAACCTACCTCTACAGTCGGTTAGACTGGACACTGTGGATACTCGGATAGATCAATACTGAGTGACACCCCTAACTCTATACAGACGGTGAGACCAGACACTGTGGATACTTGAATAGAACAATACTGAGTGACCACCCTACCTCTACAGTCGGTTAGACTGGACACTGTGGATACTCGGATAGAACAATACCTCTATACAGTCGGTGAGACCAGACACAGTGGATACTTGGATAGACCAATACTGAGTGACCCCCCTACCTCTATACAGTCGATTAGACTGGACACTGTGGATACTCGGATAGATCAATACTGAGTGACACCCCTAACTCTATACAGACGGTGAGACCAGACACTGTGGCTACTCGGATAGAACAATACTGAGTGACCACCATACCCCTATACAGACGGTGAGACCAGACACAGTGGATACTCGGATAGAACAATACTGAGTGAACACCCTACCTCTATACAGACGGTGAGACCAGACACTGTGGATACTCGGATAGGACAATACTGAGTGACAACTGAGACCGGACACTGTGGATACTCAGATAGGGCAATACTGAGTGACCACCCTACCTCTATACAGACGGTGAGACCAGACACTGTGGATACTTGAATAGAACAATCCTGAGTGACCACCCTACCTCTATACGGTCAGTGAGACCAGACACTGTGGATACTCGGATAAAACAATACTGAGTGACAACCTTACCTCTATACGGTCGGTGAGACCGGACACTGTGGATACTCGGATAGGGCAATACTAAGTGACAACCCTACCTCTATACAGTTGGTGAGACTGGACACTGGATACTCGGATAGGACAATACTGAGTGACCACCCTACCTCTA